TTTTTTGAGACAGGTCTCACTAAGTTGCTTAGAGCTTCACTAAGTTGCTGAGGCTGGCCTTGAACTTGTGATCCTCCTGCCTCAGCTGCCCAAACTGCTGGGATTATAGGCCTGTGCCACTATGTCCAGTCCTATTTTAATACTCTCTAAAGAATATCAACTCTATCAATAAATTGAGTGCCTACTATGTGGCAGACACTGTACTGGAAATCTCTCTCTCATAATAGATTTATAGTTGTTATTTTTGAACTAAAACAGGAATGGGTTACTGTCAGCAGATGGAAAAGGCATTTACCGGAAGGGGGCACAGTTTCCCATTGACCTTGACAAAGAGGTTGGGGGGAAAATAATCCTCCTGGGGGCAGCTGGTCTCACAGAGACAGAACCTGGTGAGGGATGACAAAAGATAAAAGGTGGGAGGCAGTTACTGGAGTTGAATCTGGCAGAGAGGTAGGGAACCTCAGAAAATCAATCACGATTGTCTATAGCCCTAAGCATCCAAAAGTCCCAGGGCTAGAGGAAGGAGAAGTTGTGCTCTGTTTGTGTACAATGTGTCAAAATGCATTCTACTGTCATGTATAACTAATTAGAAGACAAGTGGACAGTGGTAGAATATCTATCAAACCCCTATTTCACTCCCACCCTACTAGGAGCCCAGCAGGGTAGAGAGGGAATATTAACTCACCTTAGCTGCACCTGTATGGTATAATCACATTTGGCCCCTGGCAGAACCTCTCTGTAAAAGGGAGAAAGGTATCAGCCTCCAGAGGGAGGGGTGAATGACAGAGATAAAGCTGATGTCCAGAGAAGAGGGAAGAAATATACAAATGAAAGACAAGCAGGTATAGGAGGATGAATAAGGAGGAGAACAAAAAAGAAAGAAGGCAGAGTCCAAGGATAAGGGAGGAGGACTAAGAGAGAGGTACCTGGACGTAAGAATCTGCTGCACTTGCTGAGGTGTGAGGGCAAAGGTAAAGTGCGCTTCCTCAAACCGCTGGCTAGAAGTGGATGCTAAGGACACAAAGGGGCAGTTATTCCCAAGTCCATGCACAGGCAGCCACAGAAGTTGCTTCCATCCCAGATTTCTAATCCCACAGAACTGAAATCTAAGGAAGGAGTCCAGCCTACACTGGAGTCCAGGAAGACTGAGGGATCACAGAGAGCCATACCAAGGGTGGTGGGCCGGATGAGTTCCCCGTAGACTTCATAGAAGGGCAATGGTTTCATGGTGACATCAGGGTGCACGGGCTGCGGTAGAGGGGGATGCAAGTCCACCTCACGCTTGGGGCCCAGAAGGGTGCCAGGAGCCAAAAGGGCTGGGGGAATGGGAGTCAGAGGGCCAGGGGAGCCTACAGGAGAGGTGCCAGGGGGCAAAGAGAGCAGAGAGAGATCAGAGGGCCCTAGGGTCTTCCGGGGAAAGCGCCGGCGGTAAAGTTCTTTGATCTTCATCTGGACACTGGGGGCACAGCTGGATTTGAGGAGGTGTAGGGCCTTGGCTAGGAGTTCGTGCTTCCGTCCACTCTTGTTCCGGCCAGCAAAGCCAAGGAGCACCTGCAGCTCAGATACCCGGAAACTCATCACCATGTGCTGTGAGAAGAAGAGAGAAGCTTGGGAATCCCACCGTGCACAAGCCTGTTAGCTAAGAGCACCCGGCTGCCTTCCCTCCAGGGTTAATGGAAGGGTGCTTCACAACTAGTAGATTACTGCCAAGCAGCTGTCCTGGCCCAAGGGACGTGTCAGTCCACTCAGCAACACTCAGCTCAGCCTCACCACCACCACCTCTTCCCAGAGCCAGAGCGACCCTCTCCACACCCCTGGAAACTGGACGGTGGCGGCAGAGGATGGCAGACAGCCTTAGCCACTAAGGCCTCGGACTCCATCCCTGCCTCTAGCCTAGACTCCCCTTTAAGCTGCTTATCTCCTCTTCTGCTCTTTCTCAGACTTTCAGACCCATCCCAGCCTCGTGGGAAAAGGACAGAAGGCAGGAGAAGGAGGGAGAAGACAGATAAGGGTCGGGAGGCCCACAGAGGAGAAAAGGGCCAGTGGCTGGAGCACTGCGCACCCTGCTCCTCCCTCCCCTGCCACCTCAGTCCCCCCAGGTATCGACGACCCCAAGCCTCTGGGGCTTTATGGCCAGGGTTTTCGGTCAGAGTTCACTGCTCATAAGTCCCCCAAGTCCTTTCTTGGCATCATTACGTGGCCACCTCCGTCATTCCTGTTCTCTGGGAGGGAAACAGAATCAAGCCTGCGGGGGAAGGGTTCACGGGGATCACCAGCCCAGGTACCCTGCGGACCACCTG